CTATGTCTGCGAAGGCGCCAACTTTGCGGCCACCTACATCAACCTCTACCACAAAATGTTCACCCTTTGGACCTCTACTAATCATCGCCCAAGAGTCCTTGGGGTCCTTTCCTGACCACTTAGTCTCTAACTCTTCTAGGCCTCAGACATATCTCTTGAACAGAGCGTTTATGGGTCTGAATGTGACTGCAGGGCGATACGTGGGTCACTAGCCTTGGCCAACGCCTGAAGTGGGGAAGGCAACGTTACCACTTCAGCGCGAGTAAGAGCGACTAAAACTCCTACTGGCCCGAGGTGTTTCCCTGCTAAGTGCTCGCAGAAGCACCGCCAGAGTTCGAAGAAAGTCCAACCACCATTGGTGAGGCTACCCTCGTCGCGGCCTTCTTGCCTCAACACGTTCTAGACGTGTGGCCAAAATTGCCACAGTTCATGCACGTGCCCCTAGCAACTCGGTCCCTCCACACCCCATACTCTAAACCAAGTTTTACCCATGCGGGTGTTCCTTGGCCGCCCTGACCCGTCGACCGTACTACCTTCTTCTTCCCGGTCCCCCTAGCCTTTTCCTTGATAGGTGCCACGACTCCCCCATCCAAAGTCTCACTGGCCCCATCATGCTCTGTGTCCTCCCCAAAGTCTGGGAAGTTGTCAATTTCTGTCGTCTGACCATCATGGTCGACGAACATTAGTTGACCTTTCTTTTTCCAGTCTTGGGGTAGTCTCTTCTTCCTACGATCGCCCTGACTCTGATGCGCAGACCCCAACTTAGCCTCTATGTCTAAGGCTTTCTTGCTAAAAGAGGCGAAGTTATGCTGATCGACATAAGCCTCATCTACCAGCTTTGTCCTCACCTCTGAAGGTAGACATCTAAGGTAATCCGTAAGGAGTACCTGCTAGTCATAGCGCACGCCAGGAACCACGAGCAGACGTTCTACGGTGTCTGTCAGCTCTCTAACATTCTTGTACCTTCTGGCACAAAGATTGTTGATAGCATCGGTGGCCTTTTGAGCCCCTTGCGGGTCATGCCACCTATTGTAGATGGACTGTACGAACTGTTCCAATGTCAGGGCCTGGGCCCAGGCATCGAAATCCTGACCGTAGCCCTGCTGCTGCAGTAGGCCATTCAACCAGCGGGCTGTTGACCCCTTTAGAAAGGAGGCAGCCATAGGCCATTCAACCAGTGGGCTGCTGACCCCTCTAGAAAGGAGGCAGCCACAACAACTTCTTGCTCTGGCGTGGTAAGTTTGTGCCTCACATAGGTAGGCACTGTCCTTGCCCAGGTGTCCAAGTCCTCATCCTTCTTCCTGTCGTCAGAGAAGGGCTTAGGACTCAGCAAGGGTATTTTGGGCATCCACTGCATCGTTTGCATAGGCTGCATGGGCCCAGGGGCTTGCTGCAGCGGCTGCATAGCCACTGAAACAGGCTGTTGCTCACTAACCTGGGCCTGGCTTGACATTGGGACTGTAGTGACCACTGTCGTGGATGGTACGGCTGAGACTCTATGAACCGGACCACTAGTTGCTACCAAACCACCTGGCATGCCAAACATAGGTGAGAATGGAGGCCCTACCGGTGGCAGGATCACTGATGGACCTGCACCTTGAGGGGGAACTACAACATACTGTGGCTGCCTCATCATGGGACGAGGAGCCCGTATTGCAGCCATAATCTCTTTCTGGCCTGCCATCAGTTCAGCCAGCACTTCCTGTTGGACAGCCTGCGTTTCCGCCACACAAAGAAGCGAGTTACGCAGCGCTCATATCGCAGGATCAAGCGTTGACTCATCTAATGCTTCCAGTCTGCCTAGCTCCTCTCTTCTACTACCTAGTCTAGCTGCTCTTCTTCTCCTCTCTGCTGCCTCATCCAATTGCCGCTGTAACTCACCCTGAAGTTCTTCTGCTTGGAGGATTTCATAATCCTCCGGTGTGAGTTGAGTCTGCTGGCTGACTCGCAAGCCAGCACTCTAGCTAATTGACCCCTGAGAAGCACTCTGACTAACTCCTGACGAAGTGGACTGTGAAGAGGTTTGCGACATGGTAGATGAAGTGGCCATGGTCGTACCGGTACTAGCTATAGTTCTAGACCTGGCACTATCCTCAGCCACCCTCCCTCTCCTTGCAGCTGCTCTCTCTCTAGCCTCTCTCCACAATCTCCTCTCGCCTCCTGGACCTAACTTCAAGAACGTCAAAGGTCGACTACGAGCAGTTCCACGACTAGTCCTACGGTCGTCCACTAACAACTCCTCTTCACTTGTGCGTGCATCACTCATGAGCTGCAATGTGTGTGATCTAAACTAGAATCCACAGTGAATCCTACCTTAGCCTGACACACAACCGATTATAAATCACAACTAATTCCAGTCGGATTGAACAGAAACAGTTAGGTGATGTAGTAACAACTAATGTTAGATCCTACAGGAAATATCAAATCTATTTTTAGATTACCCTAGAACAGATTGCTATGCAGCAAAGATCTAGTCTGTCTGCAACTGATTAGTCAAGTCTGTAACAACTAGATAATCAAAGATAAAAATAATATCTCCTGTTGGAGATGTATGCTTGATGGCAGATTGTC